CCCGAGCTGCATTTCCGACCCAACCTGGATGGAGACAAGGGCAAGCGGAAGCAACATAAGGCGGACCTCTTCTGGAATACCTTGCAGGACCAACTGGTTGATTTTGTGAGGGAACCGGAGGCTTTTTACGCTGCTCACGGCCAGACGGACGATTGGTGTTTGCCATCACTCTTGAAGGCTGTGAAGGACATCATCCAGACTTTGGTTCCCCAGAGAGACAGGGTTTACTTGGATGAGGGACTCAACGTCGATCTGCTGATGCAGCAGTTCTACAGGGGCGTTGCGGATCTGGAAAAGTTGGCCTTGTGGTTGTCTCGCGTTCTCAAGTCACATTGCGCCCCAATGCGTGACGAATGGGTGGACCAGATGTACAGCCAGCTCAGCAATGGAAACAGGATGAATAACGTGGAGGAGTTGGTCAAGGGCATGAAGAGCCTCTTGAGCGTGCTGGAGGCCATGAAGCTCGACGTTGCCAACCACCAGATTCGTTGTCTCCGCCCTATCCTGATCGAGGGAACCGTTCCATTCGAGCGCAAGTTTTTCGAGAAGAAGATTCAGGGCAACAAGTTGGACGTTACGCAGGCGAACGCATGGTACAGGGACGCCGAGGACCGATACGCATCATCCGTTTCCCCCGTTGCGGCACACTCTTTCGGCGAGATGTCTGTGTTCTTCGAAGCTATTTCCAGACTCATCCTGCCTTCGGTCTCGGATAAGTCTCTGCCAAATACCTTCATCTTTGATGAGGAGCGCTTTATCAAGTTGCGAGCTGATATGCTGGACGCTATCAACCTGGAAGTCTGCATGCGAATGTTCGACGACCTGGAACGCGTTGGCCGACTTGCTGTTTTCGACGTGGATCGATTCGATGAAGGGACTCGCAGCCGACCAGCTTCTTTGACGCCAGCCTTCGACTTCAACACTCCTCCCTCGCGACCCTCAAGTCTCGCCTTTAGCGCGAGTGGCTCAGCAACCTCTTCTCCCAGATCTTCACTGGTATTCGCTCCTGCTGATCCCGTAGACTCCGTGGCGAAGTCCAAGGAACTCTACAACTCACTCGTCGCCTTACTTCACACCTCACCACCGCCACGCCGACACGAATCCCGCTGGGAAGCCCTGGCACCCTCCTTGGCTATCCAGATCTTCCGCTTCTGCAACGCCCCGTCCGACATACTTCCCGTTTTGGAATCAAAGCTCGCTTCCAACGTTTGCGACGTCAACAGCTCGATGTTCCAGGAAGTTCAGGAGCAATTCCACGGTAGGCTCTTGGTGGAGCTGCAGAGGCGGGTCAGGGAATACCGTGGACTAACAGGCGTTGGACTATTTTCAGTCGCCACAGGCGGTCGTGCCAACGGCTCAGGGCGGTCATGGAGTGGCAGCCCCGACCGCGATGGCCGGGAGCCCTCCGAGACCAGCCGCGAAGTCCGTGAGGATGGCGGTCTCGAAGACATGGCGACTCGGCTGGCGCACCTCGGTATTCTTCACTGGCGCGTGTTCGCGGGCCTGGCCTATACCTCCGAGGAACAGGCCGACAGCGTCATGGAGATGAACCAGTTCTAGAAGAACTGCCTCTGAGCAAAGCTCGCCCTTTGAGGCGTCACATTATTTAATATGGACGCTGCTGGTCAAGAAGCCAGCAGCCCGACTCGCCCCGACAAGGGGGGCTTCTCTACTATGTCTGGCCGAACAACAATACCCCTTACAGTATTTTAATCTTGCATTTCACAACTTTTCTCGCAAGAATTCATATCTCTTCAGGCAACGGGTGTTACGGAACCTTAGACGGTGTTTTGGGGATCAAAGCATCAAGCTCGCGCTTTTATCGCGTTGGTTAGTTGATTGGATAGGCGTTTCTATGGCGGTGGTTACATGCAGATACATAGCGCACACTTTTGCATTGCTCTGAGACAGAAAATGAGAGTTTCACTTGACGTTTAAACATTTGTCTACATTTTAATCACAACGCATGTGACTATGTACTCAAGTGAATCGCTCAGCCGAATGGTCGTTTTGGCTTTCTTTTCCTCTGCCCATGCACGCTTGTGTCTCGATGGTGTGTCCTTGCACTCTGTGTCTTGTTTTGGCCAGCTTTATGTCAAATTATTCATCGCTTGCGTGGGCCGGTTGCCGTTCAGATCAATATATATTAATGTAAACGTTAGGCAAAAAGGTGTGCCCACAAGCGGCAAACTGTGTGAGAAGGTTAGAAAGAAAGGGTGTCCCCGCAGGCGGTAACCTGCTACACGAAAGTATTAAAAAAGTGAGAGGGAAAAAGGACATGTCAATCTCAGGTTTGAGCTGTGAATGAATCTTGACCACTGCGTGGTGAACCGAGTTAAATACGAGCAACCCGGATAGAAGCCCCATGATAACTTTGCTGGTGCCTATCTTGCTAGCATATATCTGACGTTAAATGTAATTGAGGTAAAACAACTGTAGCAACAGAAGCGACAATAGGCTCGGTGGTAATAATAATAGGAGCAATCGGCAGCGACAGCAATGACGATATTGAACACGTATATAGAAAAAAGTAGAAATTGGTTCCTCTGGCTCAGGAAAGGTAGGGAGTCTCATGTGTTCTATTGCTCAAGTAGTGAAAACTTCGGTGTGAGACTGGCCTGGATGAGAGGCCCCAAGCACCCAGACAAGACAGTTTCACCGAACACCTGACGTTCTGAGCCCTGGCCTACCCTTAGGTGAGTCCTGTGAATGCGATTTGTACGCTTGATACATTAGAGCTCTCGTGATGGTGGCAAGCAAGTGTGTTTACAACCGGGACAGGAGGGCTGGGAGCCAGACAGGTGAAGCGGGGTCCCAGACTGAGGATGGTGAAGGGGACGGTGAAGAGGGGGACTTGGTCGAGGTTGGAAAAGCAACAATAAGCATGCTGGAGAGGGAAGGAAGGTCAAGTTCGATAAAGTGGGTTACGAAGCAAATCTCTCAAAACGTTGACACTATTCCGAACCTCCACAGACTCGTGTTCGGTCTACTAGCTGCGTGGAAATAATTGCCAAGTTGATTCTGCGATTCCTAAACGTCTACGTTACCAAATATGCCGTAAGTATTGGCCACTTCCTGCTCCAAAAGCCTCAGGGGACTGCACCAGAACATGAAATGGTTGAAAGAAGACTTGAAAGGGGTACGGTCCCTGGTGATACAAGAGAGGCATACCCAAGACCATGTAGAACATTCTGCTACGGTCCTGCAACTCCGTTCTCTACAGCCGACGCCCCTCCTCCGGCGGTTTCTTTTTCAAAGCCCATTGCCGTACCCTTGAGCGTACTTGCCGACGCAAGAGGACTCAAAGGCGATGTGGCAGCAAAAGCAATGAGACTTGGGCACAGACAAAAGAAAATGTGACCTGGACACGGCGCTTGTGTGAGAGTCGCCCTTCGTGGGATGGTTGATGGGGGTTTCAAGGTCACCGTCCAGTACAAACACTGTCCTCATTGTCTTGCATCAGACGGCTAGAAAGCAATATATTTGTTGTGCTGAGGCTGTGTGACACTCATCCTCGCAGCCGGTATCATGACTTTGATCCAAGTCCTTCGGCGAACCCGATGCCGACTGGGACGGGTGTCACTGGGTATCTTAAACGGCCGAAAGGAATCCGCTCTGGCGCAAGGAATCCAACGAACGATGGTCTCCAACACGGCTCGTAGAGTTCGCCGGTGAAACTGGACTGGCCTGGTTGCTTTGGAAAGTTGGCTCTGTAGCTGACACGAAACTACACTAGAGACAATATCTCGTTATCCAGTACGTAACATGCTCATCCCTCAACTTAGAGCCTTTCCATTCTGTCGTCAAGGGCAAAGGACTTTATCGCATCTCTGAAGAAACATGCGCGACATGGGTGATGACGTAAACTCTTATTATCCTTGAGACTGCCTGCCTGACTCTAGGCAGAGCGTTCTTTGTACTATTGCGATCGTGACACGGGCGATATTGGCCCGACGATGACTGCTTCTTTGCGCTTCCTGTGTCTCTTCTACCAAAGCCGTAGCCGTATTCATTTCCCTAACCAACTCCGAAATCATAGGACAAGTCTTCATTTTTCTCGACCGCCTCCCCAGCGAGCCGAGTCGTGCGTGATCGTACGGGGGATATATTTAGTTGATGAGCATGGAAACCTGTTCTCCTCATCTATTAGTCAAGTCTAAAGGGCAGAAATGTCGGGGAAGAGGGAGACTTGCCGCCATGACGACGCAGCATAAGCTGATGTACGGACTTAAACGCTCGCCTACCCTGGCGAATTTCCAAAAGATGCCCATGAAGCTACCGATCGATCAGCATTCTCGTCATGAAGCGTGTGCTCTGTGCCGGGCCTCGTTCTTACCCGTCCTTGTTTCGGTCCATCATGGCGGGTATGAGCTGGTGGATGTATGCGCATGTGCAGACGAGCAGGAGGATGACGAGGAGGAGAGACTGGAAATTGAAGAGGGCGGTCTGGCGGGGCTTGTTAGCATTCTTCGGATTTATTCGTTGGATGCGACTGCGACCCACCATGTTTGCGACTGTTGTCCCTCTGCGCGGGAACTGGCGACGTGGTTGACCTGGATGCAAATGGATGGAAGATCGCGATACCAGAGCCCAGGGGTGCGGTACGCTTCAGCCTCTCCTGTCCGTACAGTGGACAAGGTGGCCCGGAGATTTACTGAGCCACACGTGGCTCGAGCTCTACCTAGCTCTGCGTCAACCCCTGAGGCAGCACCGAGGCAGGTACCTACTTTGGCGCCACCCCCACAGTGCAAGCTGTGGAAACTGAGGCTGAAGCTGCTTGCCCTGTGCGTTGCGCAGTCTGTCACCGTGAATTCTCCATCTGGAGTTCGTCCTACCTCCGCCAATTTCGTCTTCACGATTCAACCTCCACCTCCTCCACCTCACTGCTTGCGCCGTCAACACGAGTAAACCATTCAAAACAATCAAAAACCTGTGCGACTCTACACTAGGCACAAGCGATCCATCAATCAGCGCGCACCGATCACTCACGACTGCCCATCATGGAGCCTCGCGCCCGCGCTGCCAAAAATGTTGGCAAGATGAACTTTAGCCACAACGAGCGTACGCACATTTTCGTGCAAATTCCCTCACAGCGAAATCCCCAAGCTAATTCGACTGCTCCTTCCTAGTGGCTCAGCTGCTCTACGCCCATGGCGACGTGCGGAACCCCCTTCCCGAGACCATCCGCGTCCTCGACGAGATCGTGACCGAGTTCATCCAAGGCATGGCCTTCGAGGCCACCCGAGCTGCCAACTACGCAGGCCGGCAGAAGGTCAAATACGAAGATTTCGAGTTCGCCTTCCGAAAGAACGACGCGTTTCTCGGCAAGGTGCAGGAGGTCTTTGAGAAGAAGGGCGAGATCGACTCGGCGAAGAAGATCTTCACAAAGGACGACGAGGCCGTTCTCATGAAGGACGCAGCGGACCAGGAGGGGGGCAAACAGTCAAAAGACAAGGCCGTCAACGGGCAGGGCGATGCCGCGAGCTCTGCTGCCGATGCTGCTGCGAAGCAGGAGGAGGAGCTGGGCGAGGCGGACGACGACGCCGATGCTGAGAGTGAGATTGCGGGACGACCAGCCAAGAGGGTCAGGCTCGACGGCGACGCAAAATGAGAGTTGGAGGTGGCACGGCGATTTTGTTGTTGGGCACGGTGCATAGCGACTGGCGTTTTGGATCAACGGCCTTGTATTGGCTCAGCTGGCATTTCTGACGACACATCGGCAGAGGCATAGGCAAATTAAGCATGGCATAATTAATACTTTTTGGGGGCTTTGAGCAGTGTGCATCAAATCATCGATCAAGCAGGCCGAGTTTGACATGACGCCGTTGAAACTTTTTGGGCACAATGGAGCGAGATCTGAGGTTTCCACTTTTGACCAGGGTGCATCACGATCTTTGACTTGGGGAAAAGTGGTCGAACCCCGCCGACCTTAATTCGACATACCACAGCCGTCATACCCTCGCATGGCATGACAACAAACAAATCGAAGAAGCAGACGCGAGGTCTCTTCGTGCACACAATAAGGTTCAGCCGCCTTCTCAGTACAACCATGTCATGCATGTGTTGGACTGCAACCGCAAGGTAGAGCGGTGCGGCCTTTTGCCCGTTTCCCGAATCGGCACCGGAGCCGCTGCTGTCGGTAGAAGCTTCACGCGGGACCTCGCCGAGAAAGTGGACTACCTCCCACAGCACGCGACACCCCGGCCACCAGAAAGCCCAGGGCCTTTTCCAAGGTAGCTATTTGTTCCACGGTGTACTGGGTTGCATGCCGCACACTAGCTGGCGATATCGGGGAAAAGGGAGGGAGGGGCGAGACCTTGGCGGCAGGTGACGATGCAGCTCTGCTGTCGCATCACACTCTCTGTTTCTCGTCTCGACGGCGCCTCAGCGGAAACAAAAGGTCTGGCCGCGGGCCTTCCTGATGCATGCTATGGTATGTTTAGGCATCTCAGAAGGAGCCGGTAAGTCTAGGTCAAGTTAGTGGTGTTGGTTGGCTCCATTATCTCTCCGCGCAGGCGCAGAAGCCAAAACAAATGGTTGGCAGTGGATGACCACCCTCGAGAATCTCTCTACCTTACCACGCCTACCTATCGACTCCACCTATGCCGCTCTTTTCCCTTCCTCGCCCATCCACCCACCACCTGAATAGGCACTCCTGCATTCGTTGCTTCGCACTGCTGGTGACTCGTCCATTGCCTCTCTCACCCATCCCATTCTCTCTCACACAGCCCTGTCTGCCCGACCTAGTGATCCACCACACTAAGGCAGACGGCAGCAAAATGCGCAAGGGTGGTGAGTTTGAGGGGTGGCACACTGCACGCAATAGGCTGCACGTATTTCGTCCTTTTCTTGCCCCCCCCGGCCTCCCGGCCCTTGGCCTTGGGAAAGACCCCGACTGACTGATTGACTGCCTGACTGATTGAACCGACAACCGACTGAAGGTGACTGACACACCCATTCATTACTCCAGCCTCCCCACTTCCGATGAACGATGGGTCGTCCTCTCTTTGGTTCTTCACTACACCCCGCTTCCAGTTGTGTTTGAAATCTCTTCGTGATCTTTTCCCACTCGAGATATCACTCCGTTTTCAGAGTTGAAACGTCTAGTCCCTCCCTGGCCTGCTTCACTTCACTACCCCACCGCGCCACCAGGAACCTCTTTGTGCTCTACGCGGCCTCGACTTCAAGACATGACTTCACCTAGCCGTCATGTCTGGCCCGAAGAAAAATGATGATCACCATGTCCCTCAAAACCCCAGGGTTAAGACACAATTCGAAGATTCTGAACAAGACACCTATGGATCATTTGACAGAATGTCGACAGACAGCAAATTATCTTGGTCGCAAGACCACGGAAAGGGCCTCGACCTGCCCGACCCCGAATCTTTCCGATCAGTCTCAACAAGTCCTTTTCAGAATGGGAGAGCCTCGCCGTTGTTGGGTGGATCAGAGTTCCCTACAATACCTCAGACACCACCGACGCAGGGGAAGCTATGGCGGTCCTGGGTCATGAACAAGGGCGTCGTCTTGGTGGCTCTCTCGCAGCTGTTCGGTGCTCTGATGAACCTTACAGCGCGGCTGCTTGAGCTTGAGGGAGAGGGAATGCATCCACTTCAAGTCTTGTTCGCCCGGCAGAGTGTGACCATGGTCTGCTGCTGCGCTTACATGTACTGGATGAAGACGCCAGATTTTCCGTTTGGAAAAAGGGAGGTCAGATGGCTTCTCATCGCCAGAGGAGTGAGTGGGTTCTTTGGCATCTTTGGCATGTGGTACTCGATGATGTACCTCCCTCTTGCCGAAGCCACAGTCATCACGTTCCTGGCTCCCAGCGTTGCGGGTTACGTCTGTTACATCGCGCTGCGCGAACCGTTCACTAGAGCTGAGCAGATAGGAACTGTTATAGCCTTCTTCGGCGTTGTTCTTATTGCTCACCCGGCGTCCCTCTTCACCGGTGATTCGACTTCCTCGGCCGCTGCCACCTCGCCCGAGGATTACAATGCCACGAACGGCACCGCGTCAACGACCACCCTTCCCGGTCTCAACCACCAGGCCACGACGGCAGAACGCTTGACAGCCATCGGCGTCGCCATACTCGGGGTCTTTGGCGCCGCTGGAGCTTTCACGACCATCAGGTGGATAGGCAAGCGTGCGCACCCGCTTATATCCGTCAACTACTTTGCGACGTGGTGCACGATCGTATGTGCCGTCGTCCTCACGATTGCGCCGCTTCTCGAGTTTGAGCAGCCGGCTCTGCGGTTCGCGCTGCCCCACTCAGGACGGCAGTGGCTGTTCATGGTGTTGCTCGGTGTGTTTGGATTCATCATGCAGTTCCTTCTTACCGCGGGACTGGGTATGGATCGCTCAAACAGGGCCAACGCCATGGTCTACACGCACATGCTCTTCGCGGCAGGTTTTGACCGTTTCATCTTTGGCAACGTCATGGGGTGGATGAGTTTGGCGGGATGTGGGCTCATCATCGGGAGCGCGCTTTGGGTTGTCCTGATGAAGAGCCCGCCGCCACCAAGAAGGGAGGTTATGGTGGACGTTGAGGTCGCGAATGTTAGGGATACCGAGGCTGTACCGATGCTGGCGGATATAGACGGGGGTAGAGATGAAGATCTAGAACCGGACAGGGCACGATAATACCATCATGAATATAACACATGGAACGGGGCTGCTTGGAAATGGTATGTTAACGAGAAACATGGGCATTGGCAACCCATAGAGAGGCGGTGCATGCTACCCACTCATGGTTGAGAAACGGAGTATCGCAGAAATTCCGGCTTGCATGAATGAACATTTTCAAAACACCTGGGCATTTGAGTCCAATCACCAAGAGTGGCACTGTTTTCCAGTGATATTAGATGCCTTGATCGAGCCTGTTCATTACACTGTCAGAGAGGCGAGAAGTAGTACAAATTTCCTCTTTCATGGGGGTGCTGAAGAAGCAGCAATCGACAATGCATCGCGAGCTGTCAACATTGTGCTTGCGGGCTATAAGTAATGGCGAAAAGCTATATGCAGCATCTAGGCACCTCGACATCTCGAACGACATAGCTTTACCTGTAAAACAACGCATCATGGCTTAACCGAGTTATACCTCGATACCTATCGGAAAACTCGTTGAGCCGTGATGACTTGCTGAGCTTCGATCACCACCAAAGACTGACGTATCCAGTCCCCATGAGCAACGTCATACGCCATGATGTCAGGTCGTCGACCGATCAAGGGACACAAACGTGGTGTCAAGCACGGAATAGGGGTCCTATCCCAAGTGCAGCCCCTGGAATTCCTGGCGCGCGCGTTTGCGCCGGCGGGTACCTAAAAAGGACCACGATGAGACAAGTCTCAACATTCCCGAACGCGGGAAGAGTACACAGAAGAAATTATGATTTGGATCATGTTTCCACAAGAATACACGCTTGGTGACAAGTATGGTGCGACCTTGGAATCTTGAGAGAAGAATGCAAGACAGTGGACGACACGCTGTGTAACAATAGACGCCGTTTCGCCCTGATGATCAAGATCCAGGTGCCTACAATAGGTCATCGTGGGCCCTCGGCGGAAGAACCCAAACGCTAGGCGAGATGAAAAGGGATGGTTTCCTTCCGTGACTTCAGTGCATCCGACCTAACTCCCGTCACCGGATAAGGTCTCGGGTCCGGGTAGTGATGAATGCCCGTGAGCCAGACATTTTCTGAGGTTTCCTACCCGTGAGGGTGAAGGGGGAGAACTTGAAAGCTCTGCACTGAAATTGTCTGAATCGGAATTGAATGCTTAATCAAGACGGGTTTGATGGGTAACATGTAGTTGGACGTGAATGATATGGAAGGAGGTGCAAACAGGAAGCTATCCCAAGGTCACGTGTGGGACCAGGTTCCCAAAGTGCCGGCCGGCGCCTGCACTGTGCGCCTCAGCTTTGCAGGGATAGAGTGAGGCGCGTCTCCCAAAATCTTTTGGAAGCTTCAACCAAGCCCGTCCAACGCCAATCAACCCCCATCGAAGCCCGCGAATTCATTGCGACCACAACGCCATTCCCGAACGCTCCGCTACACCAATTTCAGACGAAAGCCTTGATACGCGAACAATTGACCCCCGGCAACCGACGCCCCCGCCGCGACGATGGTCCAGATCAGTGAGGTTAAGGGAAACAGTCGCGAGAACCGCACTGCTGCCCACACCCACATTAAGGGCCTAGGATTGAAGCAAGATGGCACGGCAGAGAAGCAAGCGTCTGGTTTCGTCGGCCAAACCACAGCAAGAGAGGTCAGCGGCATCCCTCGTGGTTGCGCAGCGTAATTACTGACAGATCTGCCGAATTTTAGGCATGCGGTATCGTAGTCGATCTCATTCGCGCTCACAAGATGGCCGGTCGCGGTGTTCTGCTCGCCGGTGGACCTGGAACAGGAAAGACGGCCCTTGCGCTTGCCATCAGCCAAGAGCTTGGAACCAAGATCCCCTTCTGCCCGATTGTTGGCAGCGAAATCTACTCGACAGAAGTAAAGAAGACCGAGGTATTGATGGAGAACTTCCGCCGCGCAATCGGCCTGAAGGTCCGGGAAACGAAGGAGGTCTACGAGGGCGAGGTGACAGAGCTCACTCCCGAGGAGGCTGAGAACCCTCTGGGCGGATACGGCAAGACCATCAGCACACTCCTGATCGGCCTGAAGAGCGCGAAGGGGCAGAAGAAGCTGCGGTTGGACCCGAGCATATACGAGGCCATCCAGAAGGAGAGAGTTTCGGTGGGAGACGTCATCTATATTGAGGCGAACACTGGTGCCTGCAAGCGCGTGGGAAGATCAGATGCCTATGCGACCGAGTTTGATCTGGAGGCCGAGGAGTACGTGCCCATCCCGAAGGGTGAGGTGCACAAGAAGAAGGAGATCGTGCAGGACGTTACTCTTCATGACCTCGACGTCGCAAACGCTCGGCCCCAAGGTGGTCAAGATATTATGAGCATGATGGGACAGCTGATGAAGCCCAAGATGACCGAGATCACGGACAAGCTGCGCGGCGAGATCAACAAGGTGGTGAGTAAGTACATCGACCAGGGCGTTGCAGAGCTTGTCCCTGGCGTGCTTTTCATCGATGAGGTAAGCGGAACTTTCATGTCGTGTCTGACGCGAACTGAGACCGGTGGATTAATCTTCAACAACAGGCGCACATGCTCGATGTCGAGTGTTTCACGTACCTGAACCGGGCCCTGGAATCGAACATCTCCCCGATTGTCGTGCTGGCATCCAACAGAGGAATGGCCACCCTTCGCGGTACGGACGACATCGTCGCGGCGCACGGCATCCCTACCGACTTTTTGACTCGTCTTCTCATCGTTCCCACGACGCCCTACCAGCTGGACGAGATCAAGCGGATTGTTCGCATCAGAGCCACGACCGAGGGTGTGCCTATCACCGATGCCGCCCTGGACAAGATTGCGGAACACGGCGTTCGCATCAGCCTGCGGTACTGCCTGCAACTGCTGACACCCGCCAGGTAAGTGAAGAAATGATCGGTTTCTTGTTCCTGCTGCTGGCTTCCCACCGCTTTCTCTTACTCATCCCCATGCGGTTTCCCCTCTCTCTTGAATCGTGGATCGACCGGCTAGTGTGAGACATCCGGGCTAACCCCAATGAAAGCATTCTTTCCAAGGCAAACGGCCGCAGCCAAATCGATGTCCAGGACGTGGCTGAGTGCGAGGACCTCTTCCTGGACTCGCGGCGCAGCGCCAGCCTTCTGGGCAGCGAAAACGGACGAGGTTACATCTCGTGAGAGGAGTCAACAGAGGCATGCTTGTTCGGTAGGATAGAGAGTGAGAGGTCACGGTCCCCCGTTTAGTTTCTCGGATGAAGGATGGCGACGGCGTTGTAAAAGAACTTGTCACATTATCGAAGACCAGAACAGGTAATTCACGGCGTTTTATTTGCTGTGATAAATTACGATGATGATATTCCGTGGGAGATACCGGTCAATTGTCTCAGTCGGGTCCGTGAGAACCAAGTTGTGTTGTTGAGTTTCCAAGGGGCGAGCAAACGAATGCCGGGTGACATGTCCTCTGGCCCACGAGCGACGAGTGATTTCCCGTTGGTTCCCATTTCCTTGTCTCGAGTTGGCTGACCCCCCGAGAAGCGAAAGTGGGTGGGCGAGAGAGAGCAACGCTGTTTGCAAAACAAAAGCCCAGATGAGGAAAAAATGCAGGGCCGCCCTCCCGATTATAAGACATTCGCAGGCCGCGAACCAGAAAAACAATACCTGACGAGAGACATCCACGCACCGCCCGATGCCGATGCCGCCTTCACCCCAACCAGAGGCAATTGGCAATGGGGGGATTTGTAGGTAGCCAGCCCTTCACCGCGTCTTCAGTCTCCCGTTCTGAACCCTGGTCCCACATCTCATCCCATGGTACTCTGGCGCTCATCATCAGAGACATCACCAACGCCAAACGCATTGTGTCCTTGCCGATCAAATTTTAAAAACATTTCCAAGAAGACAGGAAGAAGAATCCACTGGAACGAAGAATTATGGTAAACGCCTGGGGGGGTTCTCGCCTTCTTCCCTTTCATCACGTGGGAGCTGATGTTTCTCCCAGCCTAGACCACTTTCGGCCAGGGGTGGTTGTGTTGGTTCGACGTACATCCCATTGTCTTTGTTCTTTTGGTGGGAGCGCGGGTTTTGATTGAACATTCCAACCGACCTACTTGCATTCATTCCCCTTCTTTCACTTATTCTTTCCCTTGCACTGTTCTCCGCCTGGCCCTGGCACACCACACCCATACCACACCACCACCGCGGACAAGCCAGGTCATTGTTTTTGACGTCTCGCAGGGCCATCGGTCTGCAGTCGGTATGCATGCTTTCCTTTGAGGAGAGGCTGGCTGATGGCAGGGGATCTCGGCGCCGTTAGGTGAGGAAAAGCAGGGGGCGAAGGAGGAAAAGAAGGTAGCCGCGCTCGCCGCGGTAGATGTTGCAGTAGTACCATCATTTAGTAGTTCGCCGACCCAGAAACATCGTCTGGTAGGGGGCCAGACAGAAAGAGAGAGGAGGAGGAGGGCGTACGTGCGGTGTTGCCAAGCCTTTTCTGAATTACAGACGACATGAAAGGATGAAATTCTTAAAATAACACCCAAGAATAAGGCTGCTTTGAGTGCTGCATCTCCCTCGTCTGTATCTCTCGACCTGTATAATTTCCCCATTCTCAACCTTTAAGCATGACCTGGACAGCGTAGTAGGGACGGGGGGTAAGAATTCTTCAAAGCCCGTGGCCTTGCGCGCGGTGTGTCGCTCTGATCACCCAACATCTCATTATCCATCTTTCCTCGCCTCGCCTCGTCGCCGCTGCCGCCGCGTCTTTCTCTCCGCCTTCTTGTCCTCCGCTCTGCAACTTCGGACTTGGACCCGAAGGGAACCTATCATTTTGTTCACCGGGGTCGCAAGAAAGGGGCCAAAACGCATCTGCCCATCTGCTTTTTGCCAGTTGCGAACGGAAAGCACTGGTGGACAGAGTGAGTTGAGTCGTCCCGGCCACGGAACAAACGCTTCCTCACAAAGGAGCTCTACCCTCATCTGCAACAGCTTGGGTGCCGGCACATTCCCGAGACATTTCCCCAAAGCCATCATTTTCCTCTCTCGTCCGTTCGTACGCCGTCTGTTCTGTTTCTTCATTCTGTTCGCTCCTCACGAAACCTGCTGCTCCCTCCCTCCACTTCTCTTGCTGCTGCAGCTGCTCCTTGCCGCGCCTTCTCCGTTGTCGTTGCTGTCCGTCGTCACCGCCGCCGCCGCAACAACAACGTACCGCCCTGCCCTCAACCCCCAATGTCCTTTCTGCTCCATAATGGCAACCGTCATCTTTGAACATAAGGTCATTGAGTTGGACGGTCATTGTCTGCCCCGTCTCTGCTGAATAGGTAGCCGCCATCTCGAAACCACAAAGAAGACGTACAGAACGGAGCGAACAATCGTCTCGACGAGGGGAGAGTCAGAGAGGGAATCTCGGCTGTCTTGTCTCGTTCCAGTTCCCCGATATACCTCTCCATCTGTCTCTCTCACGTCCTTCCAAATACTTACTGCCATTCTTCTTCACTCAAGCTCCCACACACCACCTGCCCCGCCATCTCTTCCAAACCAAACCAAACCCTGGCATCCCGTCGTGTTTCTCACCGTATACAACATACACGCCCCCCCGTCTGTCGCTGCTATCCTTCTCCAAACGCCCCTCTCCGAAGCATGGTGTAAGTCCGAACGTCGCAGAGCCAAGCCAACCAGCCGAACCGACCGCCATCTACCACCTGTCACCGTTTCCACCACCACCACCCTCACACCCGTTTGCACCTCCTCCCAACCTTCCAGGTCCCAAGATGACAGATGTGATTTCTACTCCCAGACCGCGGCGGTCAACCTCTTCTGGGGGCAACTCTTCCCAGTCGACCATGGAGCGCAGAGCAAGCCAGGGGACAGACGAAGGACCTGACTCTGTAGGCTCAGCTGGTAGTCGAGCTAGCAGGAAACGCGCTGCTTCTATCGACGTTGAGGAAGCAAACAACAGCTCGAGGGCGAGAGAGTACAGCTTGGAGACAGGACCGATGGGCGGCGAGGGCAGCAAAGACTACATTTGTCTATGCACGCCCGCTCTGAAAGTTCCAAGACCACGCAACGGTAAGTTCGACACCCGCTTCCTATGGTTCATCTTTCGCCAAAATATGCCGATGATCTCTGTTGCAGACGCATTATGAGACGAGAAACTCGGCAGGCGGTCTTTGTTGTTTGATTCAAATCGGCAGCTGGACACTTGTGCAACGCCTGTTGGCTAACGCTGCTGTTCTTTGATAGCCTTCATCTTATACAGACAGCACCACCAGGCCCAGGTCATCGCGCAACACCCAGGACTCTCCAATCCAGAGATATCCAAGATCATTGGCGAGCAGTGGAGGATACAACCCGAAGACGTCAAGGATAGCTGGAAGAAGCTCGCAGAAGAAGAGAAAATACGACATCAACGACAATATCCCGACTACCGATACCAACCAAGACGCGGTGGACGACCGGGAAGCCGGTCGGGCCCATCCTCTGGAGGAGACACAGGACGTTGCCCCAAGTGCGGAGGCAGATTCATCGCCACGCCCAGAACGCCTTCAACACCGTTTGTTACACCGACTGCAGCAAAATCGAGCATGCCTCCTCACCATCCGAGAGATTTGCGGGGCGGCGGCGGCGACAGCGAACAGCTCCGCCATGCTTTGCCTGGCGGTAAACAACCCATGCAATACCAATACGGCAACTTGCGAGACGTCGACGAAGAGTATGAGGCGACCTCGCCATCGCCGGAGCTCAAGCGGCGCCGCTTCAACGCCATGGGCCACTACCAAGCCGTCTCGTCACCGGGTCCGTACACCGGGCACCCTCTATCGAGACAGCCCCGATCGTCGCTGAGCATGCCGGGAACACCGCCTGTGCCGGGTTACGGACCTTTGCCTGGCCCTTCTGCACTCGCGAGGTCTGGCCACGGCGCCATGGCGCCTCCTCCGCGCCCGCATCACCCTGGATACGCAGGACCGAACCGCGGCTCTGCCTTTGACGAAAGCCTTCGTCTGCCGCCTTTGCAGACCCAGAACTCCCCGCCGCTTGGCAGAGATGGCGACACGAACGACCGCCCAAGCGCCCACCCGGCCGCTGGTTTGGGCATTGCAAACTCACGAGACGCCTGGGCGCAGAGTATCGAAGCCATGATTATGACGATACCTTTCCTGAGCAAGCTGAAGGTGCTGCAAAAGATCAGCCCGACTCTGGCGCCGCCAGGCCCTACCAGCCCTGACATCGAGACCCGTGGCGCAGTCATTGCCGTTGAAGGGGCTGATCCCCGGCAGCTGGAGCAGGTCGGCACAGCCATCCACCGATCTCTGTTGGGCCTGACGGAGATTGACCTTAAGATCTGGAGCGAGGCACCCACCACACCTATCTCAGTCATGTCTGCTGAAGAAGACACCAAGATGAACGACACCGCTTCCGTCTCCAGCAGCAGAAAGAGCAGCCATTCACAGCCGAGTCTCCAGGCATCGGAGCTGTTCTCCAACTACATGCAGACCATGGTGAGGTGGCACGAGAAGTCGAGGGAGATCGTCAGACACGTCACCACCAAGCCAGCCTTCGGACTTGATGATCATCCGCCGAGCAGAAGAGCGTCGGAGGGAGAGGTGCTGGTCGGCTCGAGGCACAACTCGATATCGTTGCCAGCCAAGACACCTATTGCGTTGCTCCCTATGGGTTTTAGTTTGACCATCTCGGACAAGTACGCTTGTATGATACCCATTTCCGACTCGTACGCCCCTGTCGACCATTGGCAATGGATGTCAACCCTTTGGAGAGGTGTCATTGGCCCCGACCTCGTCATTTATGTCAAGACTGCAGCGGAGGATGAAGTTGTCCGAGGAGGTGCCGTGGAGTTCAGAGGTCCCGGTGTAATTGTGGTCAGGATTGCGCACGGCAAATCACTAGACGAGAAGGCTGAGCGGCGCATTTGTTTCGAGGTGATCGAGTGGATCCGGGGCGCCAGTTTCCAGGAGGGATTTGGCCGAGGTTGACAACGGCGAAAAAAGCGAATTTAATGATTTGATATCCTTATGTTTTGGCGATTTGGTCAGAGTTGATAGTCGGGTTGAGACCGTTTCTTGTCTTATTTCTCGACATAGCGTAGGCGTAGATAGGAAAATAACGAGCCGTCATGATCGAATGAGTGTTGCGAAGAGTCCGTTTGCAGTCACGAGAAGTCGACATTGCGG